CCGTGGCGTTAAGCCCCACCCCCTCTGCCGCCCCTGGCGGTTAGCTCCGCCCCCTGCTGCCTACCGGCTGTTAGTCCCGCCCCCTTTGCCGGTTAGTCACGCCCCCTGGGGTTAGCCCCGCCCCTCTCTGTCGACTCTGGCAGCGGCGCCCACCGCCGGTGGAGCGGTGGGTGGGCCCCACTGGGCCCCCTCCGCCCCGGGGCCCCCTCAGAGTGCCCCGTCACGGGGCTTGTACAGGCGCGTAGGGGCTGAGCATGGCACCTGCTGTCAGCCTGACAACCAGCTGTGCAGTCCAGCCCCTGGCCACACTGCCACCTCGCCTCCCTGCACACTGCCCTGTGCTGTGGCACCGGGCTGGGCCTCGGGTGACTTCCCAGAACGACTTCAGATGTGTGACGTGAAGGAGGAATGGTCGGCAGGGCGAGGCGCTCACACCGTTAGTGTGCAGATGCAATTACGTAGGTAAGCTGCTGAGGAGGTAGCATGCCAGCCGCCATTAAAGCAGCGCAGTGTGAGGGCTGCAGTAGCATGGGCAGTCACGGGTGATGCCTGGCAGGAGTGTTGCCCTCATCACACCTCAAAGCTGAAAGTTGCGTGCTGGTGAACCATGGCCTCAGTGCTGGGTAAGCTTGAGTTCACGCTCCCCTCCACTAAGGGGTTTTATAGCTAGAAAACACAGGGGATAAGAGTCAGTCAGCATGATGTGAGAGATGTATGTGTGGTCACACAGGTAAGACAAATATTTTTGGAACAGACTTCTGGTTTTGAAGTCCAAATACCTGTTATCGGCTGGCGAATTTCCTTCCTGTCTGTGGGCCACAGTGCAGTACAGTGCTCCAAATCCACCGGCTGATGTGCTCTCCCAAGTCCTATAATGAAAGCTGGTGTCTTGTACATTAGGGGACTGTGCAATGCACCTCTGAAGCACAGCTGATGGGACAGCATGCAGCAGTAAGTTCATAGCATGTTTTTCCAGGCAACTCAAGGAAATGTTGCGTAAGATTTTCTTAAACTGTGGGTTCAAACTGTGAAATTGATGCAGGGAGTAGCTTTTCTGGATTTTTTCACCTGCAAGACTGAGAGACAAGCCATGTCCGTAGTTCTGCAGGTGTTCTCTAGTCAACATGCTACATGTGGTCATTTGTGAAATAAGTAAATTAGGACAACATCTGTGAGTTATGATTCTGATTTAGGAGCACAGAGAAGAATCTAAGTGTCCATCCTCAAGGTAATAATTCTTTTTAATTTACAATACGTTTCTTTGAATTCATGTTTCAGTAAACAAAAAGTGTCCTTAACCTCAGAAAACTGATCTTGCACAGGCTGGATGTAAGAAAGTAAATAGATACATAGAAACTGTCCGCCAAATAACAAATTTTAATAAAGAAAATTTACAACTTCCTCACTGATTTTAGTCTTCAGTAGAAATTTCTCTGGACATGAACTTGCTGGCTGATGTGTATTATTTGTAGCATTTGTCATTACAGCCTTTTTTACCCCTCAGTGGAGCTACCTGTAGGTCACAGACATCATGATGTCTATGAAGCCACCTGACATGGATGGCAGGTAAAGGAGGTCCAGTCACTGTCCTGTCCCTCCAGAGAACAGAGTGATGCTGCCCGATGACATGTCACTCTAGTGCGAAGGCCAGGGAAGACTTGGAGGTCGCTGACCGTGGAGTGTAAGAAGATGTTGTGCTTGAGTTCAAGGACAGCTCTGTCATTGAAGGAGCACCCTGTGTGTATCAGCTGAGTGGGACATTGAGACACTAGTGTGTTTTGAGAAGGATGCAGGAGAAGTGGTAGTTTTGATATATAAACACAGGAACATGTATTCCACTCTTCTAATTAGCAGCTGTCATGCATATGAGAAGCTTGTGCTTGTCATTGTTTGTGATATTTGGGGATGTAGTTCATATTGGGAAAGCAATGTAATTGTCTTATTAGGAGAGGGAGCTTTATGGTAGCAGCTATGTTTAGGATCTGTAACGCAAACCAGTGCCTAGAGACAGCTCATGGAAAACTAAAAGAAGTGTTTATTAATTGTGATTTACAGCTGGCATAGAAGAGCAATAACTGGTAAACCAAAAGTTTCTTAAGAAATTGCCATTGTTTGCTTTTTGGTCATTATTTTTTACTGCAAATATGCTGAAAATGTACCAGTTCTCCGGTTTTTGGGAACTGAGCCCAGAATAGGCCCAGGACTACAGTTATAATGGTCCATGGAGGAGAACTGTGTACACAACATAAACCAAGTACACTCATTAGAAAACTTTATTTATTCTATTGCTAATAGTATATTCCAGTTCTGTATTAGCTGTGCAGCCAAACCCAGATGAACTACTACAGATGCTCTTGAACCCTTGGAGATAACGTGAGACATATGCAAAGCAGGATAATGGAGTTGCTGGAATGTGTGGTATATTGCCAGTGTTTTCTGTCTGTTTTCTGTTTGTTATAAACACAAACAAGTAGTTATTGCAATGTTTTCATATTAAAAAGTCTGATAATTTGAGAAGCCCCTTGCTGTGCTGACAAAACAGTCACCCCAGGGTAGCTGGTATCCACAACAGTTCTGATCTCAGAATTGGTTTTGGTGCCCTTGCTCATCTGAATGAAAAAGACCAATCAAATTGACTTTAAATGGTGTTTGTCCAGTGACCTTGGCTGAACAATTAACTTTAGTACCAGTCTGGAATGGGCTAAGTGCTTGTTCCTCCACGTGTATGTTTTTTTGGGGTCATTCACTGGAATTACTTACGCATCATTTATTGGAAATGATCTGGTTTGTGCTGCTTTTCTAAGAACCATTTTAGATAACAGTAGATGAAGAACAAATTCTTCCCTGAGGTGGTTTTATTCACAAATACATTCCATATCAATCTTAGCTGTTAAGGAAGAAAGCTGTAATGTGCTTAAGCTTGCCGTGGTGTGAGAGGATGAGAATATATCATTCCTGATTTAAGTCTTACAGCCCAAGGCCTAAAGAAGTGGATCCTCCCTTCACCCATGAACTGGATAGGACTGGAAATCCAGAAGGGCTGGCCACTCTTCTGGCATGTGTTAGGGAGCAGGAGAAGCTGACTGGAAAGGTCCAATGGTCAAGG